TTAAAATAAATGTATAAATGTACTACAAATGTTGTTTAAAACAAATTGTTATAAATCATGTTTAGGAGCTAAGCACGGACGTAAGGACGTGCTCAGCTGCTAGTTACTATATTAATTCTCTACCGTCTGTCCGGAATAAAAGCGATTTGATTGGTTGGATTTAAAAACGTGATTTCAATTTTATTCACAACAATATAACGAAAAAATAAATATTAAATAAATACAAATATTTTAGAAAACAAGACTAATTGAGTAATTGCTGGCATTTTCTGATTTTCCGTAAAATTTTATATAAATAACTTTCGCATGGCGTGATTTGATTTTTTTGTATAACGTAATTTCTAGCATTTCCTGATTTTCCACTTTTGCATGACATTTAATTTTTTTTGCACAACGTAATTTTTTTTGAAATTTAATTTATAACAACAATAATAATAAACAATATAACAAAAAAAAATAAATTCGATTTATTATAAAAATTAAAATATCTATCCACCGTCTGTTTTAAAAGCGATTTGGTTGGTTTATTCTATGATCGTGATTTTAAAAATTTTGATTTAAAAAATGGTCACATATAATAAATATTTTCTAGATGTTAAATTAAATTTTTAATTAAAACAAGACAAGGATGGGGTTTATACACGCAATATTGTATATGAAGAAGCTTTAGTACTATAAAGTAGAGAAAAAAACATTTGAAGTTTTTATTTATCTCAAACATATTATTGTAACTATTTAACTATGTAATTATTTAAATTGTTAATATTATTATTAATGAAACAAAGTTTATAAATGTACTACAATTCAAGCCTAGAGTGTCAATTCCTAATTTTGTGATTATTGAATTGCCTGCTTTGTGTAGTTCTTCTCAGTGAATATTATATTCTTCTATTTCGATAATTAAATAGAGTATATGAGTTAAGTAAATAAATAAATTGCAAACCATCCATCCATTTGAAACATATTGATTATAAAATTGCTTGACAACAAAAAATTAAAATGTATAAATGTACTACAAATGTTGTCTGGTTTTGTTGCAGTATGCCCCATATTATATTACGCATAGCATATTACGCATGTATGACATGAATGGTTTAATAATAATCCAGGGTCGGTATTAGAGTTAAATCAAGTGATTGTCATATGATTATGGACTTTTTACCAATTATAAAAACTCACCAAAAAAACCACCCGCAAATTAATATTAAGTGATGTAAAATAAATAAAAATTTCTTAAAATCAAAAATGGTTGAGAGCATAATATACGAGGATACTCCCTTTGCTGAATATCTTGCTGGTATGTATTTAGCATAAAGTTCTATCAATACCTTAGGAAACTTTATTTTAATTTTTTATAAATAAAACAAAAAAGAAATTGGCCGAGAAGAGGAATTGGTAAAACAACCAGAGCCAATAGAAATGACAAGAGAGGATTCGCAGAACAATAAAGTCACAGTATCTTTATTCCAAAAATTTAAATACGATTTAACTGAATATTTAAGAGTAAGAATGTTTGTTGTATTGCTTAACATGGATAAATATAAGAAACCATATAATAAATCGATTTTCTTTTGAATTATGTATAGGAAAATTTGTCAACGGGATTACCTTTACAAGAAGAAAATGACTTTGAGGAGCTTTTCAAATATTTATTATGTACTTCGCATCTTTTAAATGATACATTGTCAATTTATTTTTACAATGCAAAGAAACCTCCTTTGTTAGAAATAAGAGATTTTGAATTATATTTTTGTGGATTTTCAAAGAATAGTTTTGAAATTATATTTAGTTCTATAATAGGTTTAATGAGCATCCTTACAACATGGTTATTATTATTTAATGTTAATCAAGAAGATTTCATAACAAAAATGATTCAATTGAGTATACCATTTGCATTGATCTCTTTTGTATCATATCGTTATTTGGTAAGTTATGATCTTCAGTTGGATTTTAATTATTTTAAAATTTTTAAGAAGTTTTTTTAATTACAATTTTTTTTCTAAAAAAATTAGCGAAGAAAAACCATGAGAACATTACACAAATTAGCATTATATTATATAGAGGTTCTTGTGTATCATTGTCAAACTTTAGATCTCAAAATTAATAAAGCGTTGATTATGATTCAAGAGATTGAATTAATATCTCGTGGCTATAGATTGTCAATGCCACTTTCACCCATATCTCGTATTGAACAACATTCTAAAAATCGCCGTTGTTTAGTGCTTAGAGAAACTTTATACAATATACTTAAAGAAGCACTTGACAGTTATAAAAGCTCCATAAAAGATTTGAAGCCAGTGATATCACAAAATAATTTAGCAATCATGTATAATATGTATAATATAAATCCAGAAAATGATGAATCTAATATAATAGATAATGAAAAAACTGATAGGCTTTCTTTAGAAAATTTAAAACAATGTTTTCAAAAAATGCATTCAAAAAGAAGAGAATGTCTGTGTCATTTACTTGCTTTAGATGTGATGACAACTGGTAGAGATTCTAATAGAAGAGACTATGAGGGCCATTGGGTAACTGTCAATACTTATTTAAATAATTTGGGAACAGTTATTGAACAATATTTGAACAAAATCACTCTTGCCTCAACAAATGAACAATGTATGAATCATTTTAATTCTTATAATATTTATTATTTTTAATTCTAATCTCATTTGTTTTCATTATAAGCATCTCCAAAACAAGATATGCCACAACCAAGTCCAACAATTATCAATAACAAGAAATTAAAATCTTATATTCAGCATTTAGCATCAGTAGAGCAGCATATTCGTGCTGTTCAAGCAAAATTATATATTTGTAATGAAGATGCACGTAAAAATTTTGACATTGAAGGTAATGAATAAATGAATGAACAAATAGATATACACCTATTCTTCAAAAATAATCAAATAAATTATTTTTTTAAAAAAAGGTACTGCCAAAGAGGATGAGAAAAATAAACTATTAAACAATTATGAATCTATAAATAAAGATTTCACTTACATGTTTCAGGAATGGGAAGAAGGAATGAAGGCTTTAAAAGAAGTAATTGGATTGACACCATCAGATGCTGATTCTTCTTCTAATCAGCTTTCACTTGATGAAGATGCTGAAACTTTAAGGGATGAAACTGATCACGAAGAAAATTATATAAAACATAATGTTGATTGGTCACAAATTGATGGTCCATTTGATGTACCAGAGCAAGTTTTTATAGCAGAAGCAGAGCCTGAAGTTTCATCAAAGAAAATGACTAGAGAAGAAAGAATAATGATTCAAAAGGCTAAAAGAGAAGATGAAGTGACTATTGCTTTTTTTATAAATTGATTCATTATTAAAATATAATTATATTTACCCGTATTTTTTATAAATTTATTAGGCAAAAGCAAAGGCTGCCCGTGTAGATTCTGAACTTATGGTACATGAATTGAAAGATGTCTTAATACGGAGAAAACCTAAAAGTTCTAAAGATGAATTTCATGAAACTCCTGCAGTAGTAACAGCCAATTAATGAAAAGGTTTAAAAAATTGCTGCTTGTCCTTATTATCATCATCATCATCATCACAGGCAATCACCGAAATTTTTTTTTGTACCATACATTATATCTATGCATAGTAAATTTTTATTTTTAAAAAAGTTAAATATTACTTCTTAGATTAATAAAGAAATTATAAAAATCAAATCATATTAAATAAATAACAATTTTACTTTTATGTCAGGCTTTATATCATAATTTATGGTTGGTATTTTGTTGGTATTTGATTATATAAATTTAAACAAATCATTACTTATTGGAGTTTTTAACATAAAATTCAATTTCATGCAACATTTTTTTATTTGAAAAGGAAGTTTTTTCATAGACTTTGTTTAGAGTGATGCTTTTTTTTCCAAATTATGCTTTTTACCATACATAAATTGATGGACCATATAAAAGATTGACCTGAACAATGTTTTCATTAATGGCCACACCTATATTGCTCTTTTATGTGCAAGATCATTAGGATCCTTGCACATTATCAATTTCAGTACTGATAAGTGAAGGTGGACCATAAAGCAAAAAAAATTTACAACCTTTTATCACCGCTACCACATCATTATCTTCTGATAAAAGAAAATGATATTTCAACAACAACAACAACAATAATAATAATTATGATAATGGTGATATTAGAAATCAAATTAGAATTAACTAGAAAGGCTGAAGCTGAACTAGTTGAAGCTCAAGTTAGAAAGACTGAAGCTGAAGCTAAAATTAAGAAAAGTAGTTGTTTAAAATTAATTATTTTTAATCATCTTTGTTTTTATTATCTAAATATAATATGGGGCAGACTGCAACAAAACCAGACAAAGTGAACATTGGTATTACCAAAGATTTCAGGGTTCAATTATGAATATAATGTGAATATCACTATTTTATTTTGAATTATCGAAAAAAAAATATTTGAAGGTTTTGCAATGTACTAAACATTAAATAAATTTCTTATTTGTCGTTTGATTATTCTGCTCTTATTTAATATTGCATCTTTAGTTCTATTTAAACCCAACCGATTGAGTTTTCTCATTTCAATTTTTTTGTCTAAAATAAATTCTACGAGAATATTGATTTCATGGTGTGACCATCTTTTTCTTCGACAATCTTGTGAATCATTATTTATTTCAATTCGGTTATTATGAGTTGATTGATTGCTAATATTATCAGTCATTTCAATATGATTGTTGATATCAATGTCATTATTATCAGCAATCTCAAAGTGATTGTTAACATCGGTATTATTATCGTTATTCATTTCATTATGGTTGCAATTACGATTATTTAAACGTGAACCAGCGCTATCATTATTATTGTTGTCAGTTATTTCGATGTCATTGTTAGTATTAGTATTAGCGTTATTATTGTCAGCAATCTCAAAGTGATTGTTAACATCGGTATTATTATCGTTATTCATTTCATTATGGTTGCCATTACGATTATTTAAACGTGAACCAGCGCTATCATTATTATTGTTGTCAGTTATTTCGATGTCATTGTTAGTATTAGTGTTAGCGTTATTATTGTTGGTTATTTCAATGTGATGGTTATTATCGGTATTATTATCATTATTCGTTTCGTTATGGTTGCCATTACGATTATTTAAACATGAACCAATGTTATCGTTATTACTAGTCATCTCAAAATGATTGTAATTATCGGTATTATTATCATTATCATTTATTTCCATACGATTGTTATTACTTTTATCATTCGAATTTGAACCAAATAAATTATCATTACATTCATTGTTATCGTTATTAATGGTCATTTCCTTTAAAAAATTTAGGTAAGTGATATAGTAAACTTTCATTTATTCCTTAATAATATGTGATACAGGGTTGGCAAATGTGCAGTCCATTGATGGTCTATTGGTGGTCCATTGGGTCCATTAATGTAACTGACCATATTTAGTATTTTATTAATTGCAATGGACCAGTCCAAATCCATCTGTTCTCAATGGACCAGTCAATTTGCCAACCCTGATGTGATATACCATTTCATATATACTCTTCAAAATTAAATACAAATCAAAAGGAATGATAGGTTTTATGAGATTCGAAACATCTACGCTATCAATATCATTTAAGAGCTCTGATAGGTTGATTATACGATTTATTTGGTCAAGGTTAAGATTTGATCTAAATGTGTAACAATTCGTAAATATTACAACTAGAATGATGACAAGTTGCAACAACTAATATTCTTATGTTAAACACTTACTCTCTGACTGCTTCATGTTGGTTTGTTTCTTTTTGTTTTCTCTCCTGTCGTTGAGACATATTTTTTTTAAAAGCCCCTATTGTTATTTTTGTTGACGCGATTGAATTTTTTTTTTTTTTTTTGGAAAAACAATTTATTTTTCTCTTACAAGACGAGAAAACGCGAATGTTGTTGTTTGGCATGGCTTGCTCTAAAGAAGACATGTTGTTGTTTATTGATGACGAGAGGTACACTATTTTTTGTTGCATTTTATTATTTTTTTTTTATTTTTTTTTATTTTTTTTTTATTGTTTTTATAAATATTGATATACATGTATTGATGCAATTATTACATTGAGTGATGTTACATAATTTTTATGCAAATATTACAACTTTACATATTAAAATTTATGGACGTAATATTGCGGCGGGGAAAATTTCCTGATGGTATTGGTTTTAGAAATCTAGTTATTCATTGAGGAAACACTAAAAAGGAAAAGATAAAATAGATAATAAATTTGTTTCTATTATTTTTCTTCTAGAGATCTCAGCTTTTTGTTGGGTAATAATGCATCATTGTGATGCTTTCTTTTTCTAACATTTATTATTTTTCTTTCTTCTTGGTAAATCTCATAGGTGATTCTTATATAAGCTTCAAGTGCCTGAGTGTTATTCATTTTGAAAACATAAGGAGCAATTTTCTCACCTTGTTCTTTTTTTAGAATACTTCTAATGGTGCTATAATTCTTGGGCTCCATGGTAGACCTAATGTAAATTAGCTTCATATTGATTATTTTTATATAGGAGTGGTTCTATATATCACTTAAGATAACAAATAGGGTATTATAAAACTGTTAATTATAATCACATTACTAAACTTTGATCCCTGAAGTTCTGGTAATCACCAATGTTCACTTTATCTGGTTTTGTTACAGTATGCCCATATTATTTTCTTAACAATTTATAATAAAACAATCAAAGTTTTTAGTGGGCATGCATTAACAAATAAAATGATATATTGTTGACATTCACAAAATAAAATCTTTTTAAGATTAGTATTAATAGAAATGTCTTTCTTATTAATACAGGCCTGAGACCAACCTGAACCCAACCCGTTAGGAGCTTTAATCACAATACACCTCTTTGTATAGTTTGAGGATGTTAGAAGTTGTCTGATAAACAATGGTCCTTATATCAAGAGTTTGTGACAATAATAAAAGAATGTCACAATAAAAAATAAAAAAGATAATTGACAAAGATGTTGGTGAAGTTTTCTTGAAATTATACTAAAGTTCATTGATTACCAAGTCCAGGAAGAAGTAAAACAGAATAGCCTAATCGTTTATATTCTTATCAGCAGAAATGTGCTATAAATCAGTTCATAAGACTTTATTGCAGGTCTGGAAGAAGATAGCCCTTGAAGTATGATATCTTTGCCAATTGTGACATCAATTGACTCAAATTATGAGTCCAAAAACAAATTTATATGATATTTGTCAACAAAGAATTGCTAAAAATATATAAAGCTCATCTGACCAAAGCAGAATCAGCATAACAAAAATCTGAAGAGCAAAGAAAACTTGTCAATCAAAACTATTCAATAACAGAAGGTAAAGAAAGCACAGTATTGTAGTATTGATACTGAACTTAATATGTCTATGTACCACATTCTGATGAACAGGTAAATAAGATTTATTATCTTAGTCTTTGCAAAGTCCATGTTTTTGGTATCCAAAATGAAGCAATCAACTATGTTCTTGATGAAGATAAGTTGATAGAAAGGGACCCAATGGCACATTTAGCCTGATTTTTGATAGAAATAGCTATTTTATTTGCTATTTTGTAATTATTATGAAGTATTGAACTAAATTTCATGATTCCAGGACATACCAAATTTAGTTTTGATTACAACTGTAAATTGCATGAATCATTGTAAGCAATACTCTTGGATTGAATAAAACCTACCAATATAAAGGTGGAAAAGGCTTTCAATACTTTGATACCTTAAGAGGTTGAATGGAATTCAAAAATCTCATCATTTCTTTTTGAACCTTCTAATCCCAGTTTGATAAAGCCAGCCTCAAGAGATTGCTAATGGTCCCTTTCATGAATTTAATTTATTGAAAACAACTTTCCAGAGCCATAGGATTTTTAATTATCAGATAATATATTACTTCCATCTTTTGTGTACAGTGTAAGTAAACATTTGTGTATAGGGTTAATTTTGTGTGAATCAACCAAGTCTTTACATATTATACATTTAAAAACTCATGTGAATAATAATAATAATAATAATAACAACAACAATAATAATAATAGTAATAATAATAATAAATACATGCATGACAAAATTTTAATATTTTCTAAAAAATGGTTGTTCATCAAGGATAAACTGATTTAAACTAATTTGATTTTCAATTACTTTTAACATTATTTAAAGCTTGAGATTTCATGAAGAAATTGATTCGTCATTTGTTTCTTTTTTGTCAGATTCTAAAATTTGATTTATTCTCAAAGCTTTTTGTTGTTTTAAATGTTTATATTCATTTTCTTTCTCCAAAATCTTATTGTGAATGTTTATGATCATAACCATGCTTACAAGAGCTATTGTGTTTTTTTTTATGGTGTTAAAATCAAATTAATGTAAAATTTATGAAAATTTAAAATGTTATAAAAAAAAAACCTTGTTTGAAATGTTTCTGTGTATCTCTTAATGTAGATGGTACTAAAATTCCAAACCAATTTAATGGATTTTTATTAACTTTAATTTTCGATGACTTCTTTATACCAAAATCCTCCATCTCTTCTTTATTTGTACTTTTCAAACTACGTTGACGAAGAGTTGAACTAGTTGTATTTTTGATGATAATTTTATCAGAGTCATCAACATCATCTTCACTAAATTTATCATAATTTATCAATGTATAATTATGTTCATTTGAAGTATTGATTAAATTGGAGGTGTCAGTAACGGCTGTTTCAACCTTTGATATTAAACTAGATATAAATAAACAAAATGTTAAATCACATTTTCACTTTGATAACATAATTTTATATATATATATATTATATATTAACTAACACTCTTGTAGAAGCCTTCATTCTTTCATCATATTGGTTTTGAGTTATTCTACCAGGACCCATTGTATACTTTGCATGGGCAAGTTGTAAAAATCCCTATAAAAAAGCATTATACATTAGAGAAAAATCTTATTTAAAAAAAATGTTCTTTGAAATTTATTATTAATATTTAAAAAAATTTTTTCCTTTACATTCTCTAATTCAGTATTTATTTGTTTCCATTGTTCTTGATAGTTTGAAATAAATGAAAAATATTCAAGTAATACATCATCTAATTTATCACAAAGTTCATGCATTTTTTTGCAACCACTAAAAAGATAATTTTTTTAGATTTAATCTCGTTAATACGTTTATTATTAATATTAATATGAAACGCGTGATACATGCACCGTTCCTTATTTATTACGCCTAATCATTGCTGTTACACGTAACTTGATCGATTGATCGATATTTTCTTTAGCAAGAAAGATCTACTACTACGAGTAAAATAATGAACCTTTAAAAGAATTTCGTAAAAATGAAAGTGTTAATGAACTTTCAAATTAGTTAACTTTATGGCTCAAAAAATACTTAATTCTAGCAGAAAATTATGATTAAAACTCTGTTTTTTATTCATCATCAGCTTTATAACAATTTTCTAGTTCCTATAATGGAAGCTGATCTAAAAGCTCAAAAAGATGTGACGTATATTTCAATTGGAAGATTACTCCAACTAACCCAGAAACAATTAGTAAGCAATTACTGTCTATTTTAATTATTTAGCCAATAAAGATTCAAAATAAAATTTAAAAGAGATTAAAGAAACTGTAGTTGATGTGATTTTTAAAAAAATGGATGCAATGTGAAAAGATAGTTTAAGTCTTGTTTTTATAAAAAAAAAATTCGTGCAATTAGTTTTTCAATTAGGTTATTAAAAAACATGAAGAATTCCTACAAGAATGTAAAAGTTAATCAGTTGAATCAATTGGTTGAACATCCAGCTCAAATATTAACAACGAAGGGATTATTAGGATACTGACAATCAAGATTCGTTATTAGAAAACGGTCATTATCGCCTGCAATAGGACCACAGGAGGTGCTGAAACAATAGTTGCATATTAATGTGGTGATGGAAGATTTTCAAGAGGTCATAAG